GGGAGCGCCGCCACACTCCCAAGCGGCACACTGTAGCAGTGCGCCACCGGGCCGGCCCAATAAAAAGCATTTCTATCTTAGCCTTAGTGTGTGTTCATAAAATTTGCATAAGTTAGAAAATGTGATGTGATTCATCTCCACAATATAACTTTAGGCACTAGAAACAAACAAGCAAACAAACAAACAAAAGGAGCAAGAGAGAAAAAGAAAGAAAAAACAATTTACATGGGTGGGTTCTGCCTCCCATCATATTCCATTGCACACCTGAGGGTGCCATGACTCTGCTGTGGGCACCTCCCCACACTCACAAGTGAGAATGGGATTCTCGCTTTTAAAGATTTGGATTATCTTGTGTCTCTCTCCTTTCAATTTAAGAGATTTTCAAGCTAATTTTGACTATAAGGATTGTCTATAAGCCCAAATATCAGTGGCTTAAATAACACAGACATCTCTCTCTCCTGTAACAGTCTGGTAGGCAGTCCACATCTAGGGGGCAACCAGGGTCCTTTTATTTTGTTCCTCTGCCATTTGTGGCCTCTCTTCCCAGGTTTGCTTTATGTTACAGTATGGCTGCTTGAGCTCCGGCCATCACATCTGCATTCCTTCCAGCAGGAAGAAGGGCAGGTATCTCCCCTTTCACGACATACCTTGCAAGTGGTACATACATCCCACTAATATCCCATTGGTTGGAGCTTAATCTCATGACCCCTACCTGCAAGGGAGGTCTGTATTCTGGGCCACCATATGCCCAACTAAAATTGGGGTTCTATTACTTCAAATCAGTAGACAACAGATACTGGCAGAGACCTACCTGTCTCTCTGCCTTTGTTCCCCTAAGGAAGGAGCAAGGACACCTCCTCTGTGCCTTGGGTGTGCCCATTGACTGGAGCTTGTTTATTCAGCAAGTCCTGTGCTGAGTCCCACTGAGGCTGAGTTTGAAAACAGTTTCTGTGTTCTCAGAGCCTCCCATGCGGTGTGGAAGGCAGAAGGGGAGAGGAAAGGAGGAGGGGTGCCAGGACCTCCTAACTCTGCCTGGAAGGGTCTCAGAGGCTGAAAGACTTCCAAGATGGCGCCACTGCCTGCTGGGGCCCAAATCTCTTTTTGCCTTGGAAAGTATGCTCCTTTTTCATGGCTTGGGTTTTTCTGGAAACTATTAGAACTCTCCGCCCAAACCAGATGATAATTACATGTTACTGATCTCTAGTCTTTAAATTTTTCTCTCTCTTTTAA